CAATTTATTATGGAGTTCAGAATTTACCAAGGATATGTGTCCTAAAAAGAAAAGATCTATAAACTGATAACCTAAGTTGCTTTTTGTTAGTTTAATTTAATTTCATGCTTTGTACAATGAACATAAAACCTTCTTCTTACTGTTGAACACTGTTAAAAATACAGTACTTCTGTTAAATCTCTGTGCTTTTAGCTTCATAAGCATGTCACGTTGCCTTAACATTGTACAATTTTGCAACATAGGCAGGAGTTCACATCCCTTTTAGCATTTTCTCGAGTATTTTTGCAGAGTATATATGTGTAAATAGCTGTATCACAATAATGGACATGTTGTATGGCTTTGAACAGTGTCCTTTTAAAGGTTTCTTTAAAAACTTTCATGGTCATATGCATAAGAATAGAATTCTATCAAACTGGAGATGGTTTGTACTGTTTTTCAGCCAAGTGTCACTTGCACATGTACTTTGGAATGGTAAGGAATTGCACTATCCTTTAGCCTTCTTTTATACACAGTATGCTTGTGGCTGCTTTAGGTTCAGTTCATTTCCTTAGGGAGGCTGGATATTTATGAGAATAGTGGAAGGAGGAATGAAGAGATCTCTTCTTGATTATTTTCTACTATGCATTATTTCTTTGTTTGCATGTAACAAACTTTTATTTCATAGGAATGACTGTAAATATTGTTTTAAAATGTTACCACTAACCTAACCTTTTGCATCTCCAATTATTCTTTAACACATAGTGATAAATGTAAAATTGACTTTGAGCATTCCAAATATGTTTACTGTGCCTAGCTTATGTGAACCCTGGGGCGTAGGGTTTTTAAATGGATGCCAAGCTAACAAACATGGGCATCCTACTTAGGAAAACTTTAAATGTAATATGATAAGCAAAAATAATAAAAAACCTTTGTTAACATCTAGATATTAGCTTTAGTCGTTTCAAAAATGAGTATTTCAATTTAAGGACTAAACAAAGTTGAGAGAATTACAAGTTATACCATAATCTTTACACAGTGCTATGCCTGTGTATTTCATCCCTTCAGACAAGAGTCTGTTCCAAGTTCTTTAATAGTTTTGACGTGTGTACACTAGACTGAGACTAACAAACCCCTATCATTTCTGAATTGAATTTTGTATCTTGCAATTCACTGATAAGCCTTGAAAGGAAAGAAAATTGACTTCTTGAACAAAAGAGGCATCAATAATTGATTAAATAGCCATCAAAGATTGATTTAATTATTTTTACCGCACCTTGTGCAGTTAAAGGTGAAAGCCACTGAGCACAAGAGTCATAGTGACCTTCCCAGCATTTTGCATCAATCAGGCTAAAATTCTTTTGGGAACCTGTAAGCATTCTGAAACCATACAAAGGAATGTCACATTCATTGCATTTCTCTATGAGACTGGAAATAGTGTAAGTATTATACAAAGCAGTACAACATTTTTCAGATGAGTTCCTTTAGGAAACTATAAATTTGTGTCTAGGAAAAACAGACCTTCAACATTGTGTATCATGAAAACAAATTTAATTTTCAATTGACAGAATATTGCTCTGAATATATTCTTATACACACTAGTAAGATACATTTCTTCCTTCATGTGATATCTGTGTTGGAACGTGATAGTTAGTCTTACCTCTAAAGAAAAGGTCCAGCATCCTTGAACGAATAGCTTCCTATCATCAAGTCTGGAAACCTTTCTCACCCTGCCTACAAATAAGCTCTTGGGGTTCTTCACTAGGTTTATTGACAACGTATTATATGATTTGTCTGTGTCTTGCTCAGAGTTGAGCTGACGTCTGAAATGGCAATACAAGACAGACAGTGATCAATGAAGCGTCTGCACAAGGGCATGCAACACAGATTACTTTGAGTTTTCCTCAAGGCAAGATTATTCAGAGAATGATTTTAAAATTCATTTGATCATGCAGTAAACACCTACATAATTCATTGCATCTTGGTAGTTGACCATGCAGCTTGCTTCTGCACCAGCACCAGTCTGTTGAAAAAAAAAACAGCACAGAGGAATGCAACCTTCTGATTAAGAGTGCAACCCAGTCATGCACTTGCCAGCCCTGCTGTGGCTTATCGCTTGTTTGTGGCAGCATGGGACTAGAAATGGGTCAGATCAGAGGTGGTATCTGCAACAGGGAATATGCAACCTCCTGTCAGAAGTCTTTATGTTAGCTAACAGAGTGCTGCTGGGTGGCCTCTCAGAATTAAGTCTGGACAAGTAACTGGAGATAGTATTTTTAAATGTTAGTTATGTATTAGTTCTTGACAGATTGTACAATTGAATAATCTCCATAAAGGCAAATCTGCCTAAAGCATCTGAATATGCCAGCTTCAGTAACATAAATAAGCTTCTCTGTGATTCCCATAATTCTTGAGCAGTTTTCAGAAGCTAAGATTAGGTTACGTGTATCTACTGTAGATGTTTATATTATGCCGTGTGTTTTTTATGCTGGTTTGCATTACTATATATTCCTATTATTTTGATTTGGACTAAGTGATTATTTTAGATTTTAATTTGTCTTGCTGGGCAATGCTTACAAATGAGGCTAGTTTGTTCCATTTTTCCTACTTGCATATTAGTCTGACCTTAAAAATGCAGGTGAAATATAAAGACAGAAACTGACAAACGGTGTGAAAGGGTATAGGATCTGGGATCATGGGGGATACTGATAAACTTTTAAAGCTTTGTTTGGAAAGGTATAGAAGATAATGCTCTGCCAGGTTGTCACTGAGAAGTCTGCTACAATTTACTCGAAGTTCACTCTGTCTTACGTACGGGTAATGCGGCATTTCAACTGTTCTTTAAATAACAAGAAGTATTGCATCAGGCACCTACACATAAGTTTTGAAATGTCAGATTTAAGAATTTAGTCTGCTAAGCCTTAAATTTCAAAGCTTTAGTTTCAATTAAATTATTTTTTATTTTATTTTCTCATCTTTCAACTAGCTCCAACTGAACCTCATGAACCTCTTGAAGTAATCCCGTAGTTCCATCCTACTCAAATCATGCCAATGTTTTTGTTTTTACTCCTAGACATGAAATATGCCTAGTTTAATGGGAAACTGTAATGCTTTTTCTCCAATTTCGTGACCTAATGTATGAGGGATAGAAAGTGTTAAAATAGTGATCTAGTGACAGCAAAAATGCACAAGACTTAGTGAAAACAACTCACTAAAGGTTAAAGTTTTCTTAAAGTTTAAATGTATTAATAGATACAATATTTGCACTGTCACTTTAAGCTACACCTATATTTTGAAGTATTTTGACATTATTTAATGCTAAAGCTTAAATGTTGCAGAGCCCCCTCCCCCATCTTCACTTCTTCCCTCTGCTCATCTCATCTTCGACTTGAACGATCAGACTGTAGACTTCGTTTGTCTTGCCTTCTTAGCGCATTGAAACAGGTTCAATAGTGAGCTCTTTGATATGAGTGATCAAGACAAGTGTTGTGGGTAGGGAGAGAGGGTTCTTTAACATGTAAAGAAGGAAGGGGGTTACCAAGTACAAACAGGGCCATTTGAGCTGTATCAATTACACCAGCCACGGAAGGGACTGAATTTCAAGAAAGAAAAAGAGGAAAGAAAAAGCACAGGAGAATAAAAGGCTTTAGGCATGAAAGAATGAATGCTGGTAAGGAGAAAGAAAAAGTCAAAAAGAAAGTAAGATGAGTGAGCATGGTCACAAAGTCTTCAAAATCTATCATAAATGAAAGACAATCATAAAAAGCAGGCCTTCCTGCAACACACACACAGTTTAAAATAGAAATTTCCCCATGGCTATCGGAAGAGATCTATCAAGGTGTCTAAGAGTTGGTTAAACTGATTTTTAATATCTTCTAGTTTTTACTTTTACGATTAAATTTAAGCTGTTATGACAGTAATGACACTTATTTAAATTTTTAAAGTAGATGACATGGTGAGGTAATGCAGATAAAGGTAAAAAACTTAAAGGTAAAAAATGTCAGTCTTTTACAAAATTACTATTGCCTGTAGAGAAGGTACCTCCAGTTTTTAGGCGTAAAATATCCATTCAGTTTGGTATTTGGCTGATATTAGGAGCACTAATGCTGTATAGTGGATATATCACTGGGTTCACAATCTCTGCTTTGCCGATAAAAGGAACACCCCTCTAGTGCTACTTAACCAATAATACCTTAAACCCATTAGAAAATTGTATTAGTTCCTGAAATGGCAGTTTTATTTTAAGTGAGTCATCTTCTTATTGCATAATCAATATTCTGGTCATTTAGAACCTGTTGGGGAAAATGTAGGAGACTTATTTACCTAAGAAATAAATGTAGTTAACAATTGTACAATTCCTTATTTGTCATTTACTAGTTCCTTTCAGTTTTAAGCCTTGCAAATCTACAGTACATGACATAATTGATTCACAGGAGAAAAAGAGTTTTAAATCTCTGTACAGAATTTGAATACATTTGTCTTGTTACTAAAAATTAGTAATACTTCCATTTGTTTAGTGATTTTCGTTTAAATGATTCCACAGAGCTTTATATTTAGGTGGGACCCATTTTTCCATCACTAAAGTGCATAACCCTGGTTGCTCTTGGAGGTCTGACTTCACTGTCCAAATCCAGCCTTGTTGTTTTGCTTCTGGGTATCTGATACGGTCACCCTTGAAGGTGGCAAAGCTAGAATTATAAATGTCGAAAAATATGTAGACTTTTATAAAGAGTAATTATATATGCTATTAAATTTGATAAATGTTTTTTTTTCAAAAAATGTTTTCTGTTTTTCTCTCCCCATCAACTCAAATCCATACCATATCTTGATATTTAACATATGAGTGACATTCAGTGTTTCAGTCTAATTCCAGGAGTTACATGATTTTACTATAATTATCATGTCTTAGTTCCTGACCTGAAATCGCTTCTCCTGTTCTTGGAAATTCTTGAACCCTCAGTGCTATATTTTGTACGAGCCCATGTAAATTTCTCCTAATCAATGTTATTTTGTTTCTTAAACAGGAGTTCACAACTCTCCGTCAAAATAGCAGCAATAGTAAGCCAGACCTGCATTCTCCAGAGCTTCTCTGTCAGACATGGACACTGAGTGGATTTGGCCTAAAGCTGGTGTCTGTGGGACTGGCTGTGTTTGCAGTGATTGTAGCCTATGCAATGGAAAAATTATATTAAAATAAAAAGCTGAGAAATTTGCCCACAGAGAAATATGCTTCCAGCATTGCTAGGATGGTAACATTTTTGGTTTGTCAAGTCTGGATAATTTCATAAATGGAGCTCAAAGCAGGTGAATAATGCTTTTGTTCAGAATTTTTTTTTTAAGCCCTAAAACTTATGTTTACTTTTTTAATGTAATAAATGAAGGGTTACAAGGACTTTGAGATAAAATGATATTACTGTTCTGTAAGTGTTGCAAACAGTTTATTAAGCAGTGTTTGCTACCTCTTGTTTTTTTTTAAATCATGCCATCGATTTATTTTAAAAAAATCTGTTATAACATCAGTCTAGCATTGAAACATGTATGCTTTTATCTGTATAGGATTTCATTTTAAAAGTCAGGGATTTTATTTCCAGGATTCTACAACACCTGCTTTGTTTCTCCTGTGTTATTTTTTCCTTGTTGTTCACTGCATAAGAAACCTTAATAAAATATATTCTTCTCAATCTTTTTTTTATGTCAGGAGTAATCTTTATAGAATGCTCTGCTTGCAGTACTGATGCAAGAAGGGGGGTGGTTATTTTCTTTTTATTTCAGTCTGTTTGTAGTTATGTCTCCTATATGGGAACTGGATGTATAATATTTGTGACAATTTGTGTATGTTACATTGTGCATGTGTATGTCTTTCTGTCAGCTTGGATGTGTTTATATGTGTCTCTGTGCCTGTAAACAAGCAGTTGCAATTTGGTGGAAATACAATACCTAGGTTGGTGGGACACACATTTCTGATGACATGTTTTCTTCCATCCCAGAAACCCTGCAAAACTGACAAGTTTTATTTCTAGTTTCTGAATGAATTCAAAAGATCTGTTATGTACAATATATATTTTAGGCAATTGTCAGAAAATTATATATATATTTGTTTTAAAGAAGAAACTATTTTTTGTGCAAGAAATTTCTTTCTGAACTTATAGAAGGATAGAAAAGCAGAGTTGTAACTGCATTCTAGAATTGAACTGTGTATTTCTGTATTGTGTATATAATCTTTCAAATGAGAACATTGTTATAACTTGATTGTAATATTACAAAATCAGATTCATAGATAGCATTCTGATTTCATTATATATTCATGTTTTACATACAATTCTGCTTCATTAAGTATCCACAGTATATTTCTTGGGTATTCCACTATATTTTATGTCTGTCATGTATCATTGCTTCTTTCTTCAGTATGTACAGTATAGCTATTGAGTGACTGATGTGTATAATTTGTGTCTAGGATTCAACCGTTCCTGTAGCTTGTAAATGTCTTCAGCATTTCTCTTTTACCTAACACAGCTTTTTCCCCAGAGTTAAGTCAAATATTTCATCCATTCTAATGCTATGACTTCTTTTATATTATTATAACTAAGCATTTGATTAATGCTGTATTCTATAAAAAAAAACACTTTTAAAGAAGATAAACAATATTTGTCAAGGCTAAAGATCTTTGTATTATACTGGATAAAATTTATCAATGCACAAAGAAAAGCTACTAATGGATCACAAGCTCAGACTGGTAATCGCAGTCAACAACTACATTTGTTGTTGTGATCACTCTAACCTTTTGTCCAAAGTATTCTACAGGTTACCTTCACCCTAGAGTATAACTGTAACCTCTAACTAAAAAAAAAGAATGAGATTAATGTGTACAGTGTTACGAATCATGAGAACCTACAAGAAAAATTGTAGCGTGATGAATCATAGACTGTCACCATTGACAGCACTGAACAACCAACCAATATATCAAGGTCACAATTCTGAATAAATTTAACCAAAGACAAGCAAGACACATTAACATGACTAACTATGGGCATTTTACCTGGTGTCACTCCCTGAATGTCTACACTATAAATTGTTTTCTTAACATGTGTTTTAGTAGTACTAACCAAAAATAAGTCCCAATAGATTTAATGTCAAAGTTTATGGAAGGTCTTCAGAAGACGTTTTGTCTGTAAATGTTCTCCTGGGGAAGCTTTGCCTATTTAAAGAACAAAAACGGTCAGTTTTTAACCATTTCACAGTAATATTCACAGTAATAGTAATATTAGTAAAGCCTTTGTTTATGAAAAGCTTCAACAATCAGTAAAAAAAAATCACTCATTCATTGTACGTTGGACACATGCATTCATTGTAAAAACGTTTTTATTTAGGTTTTTTAAACTTGCACTGATAGCCTCACTAAATAAAATTATTTTTTTAAGTAGCTGTTGTCCGCCAACAGTATGAGTTTATACATATTTCTACTGGCTAACTACATTCCCCCAGTGAGTCATATCAGTAAAGGTCTGGGAAAAATGTCTAATGATCATTGTGCTACTGTAGCATTCAATAATCAAAATTGGTAGAAAATCTCATGGAGAACACTTGTTTCATTGTTTCACTGAGAAGAGGATTTGGTAATAAGAGACATTCAGGGAAAAAAGTAAATGGAAGAAAATAATTTGAAAACGTATTTCTTTTACAAAAAAAATTAAGTATTTTAAATTAATATTCCATAAAATGTATAGATAGAATAAGGTCTTATGCCTGAAAATAATAAAAAAGTAATTCTGTAAGTTTAATGGAATTGCACAGAGAAAACTCATATTTGTCATAAATGATTAATTTGCATACAGAAAATACAAACGTCACATTTATTCACACCCCTGTAGTTAGAAGTGTGTACAGTAAATCCTCCTCTCTCAGAATTTACAATGAAAAGATGCCTTCTGTAATTTGTAGTATTGTAGAGGTTTTGACATTTCTGATGGGGAACATTTTGGCCAGTTCTCCAGATAAGTATTTCTCTAGATCCTTTAGTTTCTGTTATTAACAGTGCCTTCTTGAGTTAATGTTAATACAAGTGTTCAATTAGATGGAAATCTGGAGATGGTCAGTTATTTTGGGAAAATTATTATTTTTTATTTGTTGATCAAGCATTTCTTATGCTGTTATTAGCACATGGAACCAGGTGTTTGGACAGAATGTACTGGTATATGTTGAAGGACATTATTCACTTGTTTTAAAAAGGGTTCTTTGAACCTTGGATGCAACACAATTGCAAAACAAACCTACAGCTATATTTCACAGTGGGCATGAGTATTTTCACATTATAAGATTAATCATTTATATGCCAAACATAACAATAATGCAGTAAATCAAATAGCTCAATTTCCATTTCTGTGGCACCAAGGATGCCAACCAGTAGCCCTCATTTTTTTAATAATGGACACTTCAGTAGAAAGAGGTAGATTCATCTTTTTGTGTATTGTTTTAACTTGTGACAGTAGATAACCATTTTCCCGCTGTCTTCAGAGAGCTCTCTGACTTTTACCATGATGATTCATGCCACGTCTGAATGCCTTCCATGTGTTACCTGCTTTTATACCCCAAGGGAAGTAGGAAAGTCTTGGATGCTTCAATATAGTTTCAGAAGCTTTTATTGCAAACAAAAGGGTAATTTATTACTATAGGCCTATTTTTTGTTTGATTTTACGTAAAGAAACACTGAGTTGTAAATCAACATGACCCTTGTTTTTTCTTGAAATTACATATTTAAAATGCAATGCTATTGTGATTGCAGTATAATATTTTTAGAATTGTTAGATATATTATACCATCTGTAACTCATTCTGTTCTATGATGTTTTCATACCTATTTTTCTGGGAGTATGAATGCAACTGGAGGGCACTAAAAGCCAATTGAGCACAAATTCTTATTTATATAATGACCTGGAGAATGAATTGGAGCAAAATCCGTTAAGTGTCTTGCTCAAGGGTGACACAGCAACATCCCACCCAGACCCAGAACCACCGGGTCCTCCTGTCAAGAGCCCAGCTCTCTAAACTCTTCTCCATAATACTGCTTGTCTTGTGGGACAGTACAATAAATTAATCTGTATCCTTCCTACATTTTGTAGTTCTGAAAATATCTTTGAGTGACAGGCGTAGAGATTTTATATACCATCATGAGCAGTGAGGAGAAGGTGTCTGATTGGCAGTTTAATAAATATCAGACCCATGTTAAGATAAACATATGTTTTTCTCTGGAAACACAGTCAAAGGGGAATTGTTAAATAGAAATGGGACAAAAAGGAGGATTACTAGTAAGTTTATTATTTGTGTGAAGTGTGTTATATGAATTTGCATATTGTTCGCTTGGTATTTTTTTTGCTTCCAGAAGTAGAAACATTTAGGCAACCTACCATCATTGTACAAATACTGCCAGTTCTATACAACCTATTATGAGGTGAAGTTTTATTGTCTTGCATAAAACTATAGTGAAGTTCCTTTCAATAACTTCCTTTTAACTATATAATTAACCTTGAATAGTTTATGTTACTGTAAAATTACAAAAATACAAATAATACAAAGAGGAAGAATCTGTCCTTGTAAATTAAGATACATCTACATGTCTTCTTTGAATAAAATGAAAATTAAGGAAGCAATGATTAAGCTTTTTATTTATCTAACGGTTGCATGTTGTGTACTGTTTTCACAGCTTTTTGATGATTGAAACTACTAAAATTGTTTGTTTTTTTAATCTGTAGCACTATACATGTTCTACTCAATGCTATTTCACTTGAATATTTTCTTCGGTTTAATTTATAGTTTTCTTCTTTCAACCTTGCAGTTGGCAATGAACTAGTGCTTTAAACACACATTGTGAGTCATTCAGTCTTAAGCATGATTATTTCTAAAGTATAATAATACTTAAGCAAAAACCCATACCTGTATTTACCGAATGTTGAAAAAGAATCTTAGATTTTAATTACTTTATCAGATGCTTTGTTTATTTCTGATTAAAAACATAGGCCCAGATTTATCCAGGTGTCCCTTTTACAAAACATTAAAGCCTTTTTTGCATTTTATGTACATCTGGGCACTAGTGTGCAGTAATGTTAAGGATTTTAATCTTCAGAGAGGGCCATCATATTTAAATCATTGGTGGGAAAACTACTGTTGTATCCCTGAACAAGGTATTGTTCTTTGATTTGCTGTTGAAAAGACCTTGCAGTATAATCTTTTATTTTCCAAAAAGGTTGTGCAAAATGAAAATTTGTTCTCTGTTGACATATCTGCTTAAAGAATGGATTAAATTGAAACAGTATTCTAATTTTAGAAAATCATACTTTGTTTTTGTCATCTGTGTGTCTTACGTGTTAAAGATTTTGTTTTGTGTGCTTTCATGAGCACTACAAATTAATCAAGGGCATCGGGCTACAGCATCTTAGACCTGCACTTTGATCCTCTATTTTTAAGTGGAAATATCTGAAAAACATCTGAAGATATCATTTTTCAAAAGCTTAAATTTAAGATGATCGTTGAGTTTTTTATCTGTATTTATTTAAGGGGGTTCACTTATAAAAAAAGGAATAAAAAATAAAAGATTTAAACATGATGTTTGGTTTAAACCACTTTGCAATTTTCTGTGCATATGAAAAAAATGAGGTAAAAGTTTTAATTAATTATAATTTACATTATTCCAAGTATTAATAATCACTTGTAATTAGTACATTAAAGGCTTAGAAAAGAGTACACCCATAAGATAATCATTTACTAGAACTCTGCAAAAAACTATTTCAGAAATGATCCAAATGTCAAAAACCGTAAATAAGTACTTGAAGTTTCTATCCTTATAAAATGCTTTAATATGAGCATTCGTTTTTTTTATAATGCAGTAAATGACCCAGGGGGTATTAGTTAGCATTCAGTTGCAATATATGCATAGCTTTTTCATGCGAGTGCTTTCTCACTCAGTCGAGTATCCCATATGTCTCGATTTATCATAGCTGCAGCATTATCTAACTTGCACACACTCATCTGTTGTCGTTCAGCAGCCCAAAATCTAAAAAGCCAGAGTTGGACAGATTGCCTGTATTGGATGCATTGATTTGATGCCAGCAATTACCAGCATATATGTTAGCTGGTTAAGGAAGAAAATAAGAGTTTGAGTCTCCTTCTCAACGAATAAGTCATGTTTTTAGAATTGCAGTTGAAAGTACTTATATTTACATAGACTCACATCTATGGGTTTGCTCTGTATTTAGATGATAAGGATACACACTACTGTATATAAAATAGTTTTTACCTTTTGAATAATTTAAGTACAATTCAGCAGAAATTCCAAGTGTTCAAGATAAGATGCTAAAGCACCCATCCAATTCTGCCTGTAAAATTAGGAATGAGGCAACAAGGGAAAATTATATGTACCTAAAGTACATGTTTTCCATGCTGAGTGGCCCTTCTTACCAAGAAACATAGGAGTACAATGGAAATCATAAACACTGTAAGTATACAGGGCTCTGCCCTCAAATTCCGCACAAGAATGACCCTGCATTTTAGGCATCACCTTGGTTAAAAAGTTTTCATTTACACTGAGTGAACAGTAAATTAACGAATTAGTAAGGTTACTAATTCAGAGTGCAGGTTGAGTACAGAGTACAAGTTGAATACTGTATTCCAGGCATTGCTGGTTTAAACTGGGCTGTGACCTGGACCAAAATATGGCTCAAAATTAGTTGAATCTTCTGCTTGGCATGTAATAGCAACCACTGTGTCTATGCAAGTGCCTGTGAGCTTTTAATGTTAACAGTAAGGGTCTGCAAACACTGCAAACAGTTAACTAACTTTGGTGATAGGGTCAGAGGCAAGAGCTAAGAGAATTTAAATTGATGATTTTTAATTGAAAATATTTAAATTGATTATTGGCAAATACAGATTTTATAAAATCTTGCTACACTATATACTGGATTTTTCAGAAAAATACTTATTGGTGGTATTATTTAGCTTCAACACTAAAAACTTAATTCAACACATGGTAATATCCTTCAGCTTAAGTACTGTGTAACAGATAAACAATGCACATTAAAATAATATTTCAGAAAGATTCCAATCCAATATAGATCTGATTTTTATAATATTATAACATATTATAGTAAATGATGGATTCACAGATATTCTGACATAGGAGGTTTACATTTTTTACCTTCAAGAAAGGATTAATTTTAAGTCACATATCTTTCTGAGGACCTGTCAATGACAGAAAAATTAGGCTCTACAAAACCAAATGCTTTCTGAAGCATTTCATTTCAATTCAAACCTACCTAATTTGTTCGATAATCGTTTTATAACTACTGACCTGTAAAGAACAGTGATAGCTGTGTCATTCAATCACAAGAGCTATCTTAGAACATTTCCTTGATTCATTGTGGAACTGCTTTAGTCATTCTTCTGATCCAAGACTACAGACTGTGGGAGTGTCATGAATGTTTCCAGTAACATTAAATTACATTTTCAGATTAAATGATCTTTGGCAAAATGAGTAGGGGTTTATCAAACACAGGCTTCAGAGGTCTTCGTAGTTCAGCGCATCTAAGGAGACTCATTTTCCCACATCAAATTCTTTTACAAAGCTTAGAGAACTCTTTGCATTAGCCATTTGGATGGAAAAAATATGGCAGATGAGTATTTGAAGACATCAGGGGTTCATTAAATCTATAAAAAGTATAATATGACTGAAATTAACTGTTTTTTCCCTTTAAAATTGGGTCCCTGATTATTTTGTCTTCTTATACCCTCAAGATTAGATTAGCACCTTATTTGTGGTCCATATACTTTGATTTTGTACACAAGCATGGCATGTCATCACAAATATCTTCTTGAAGAGCTTGAAGCTCACCTTGAAAAGCACTGGTCCCATTTATAGAGGATGGACACCACATTTGTGCAGCCTGGTCAGGATAGGTGTCATTGAGGATTCCCTATTGACTAATGCCAATTATAGTTATTCCCAAGGGAACTACTGGCCACTGTCAGCTAGTAATTAACTTAAGCCCTATTAAAAAATTAATGGCACAGCTAGTCTTGATCGGTAATGGCTACTCTCAGAAGTGAACCGGGAGATTTCAAGGATTAGTAGCACATACTGTAAAACTCCCTTTTCTAGCCATAGAGTGCGACCTCATTTATCAATTAAATGTGTGAATAAAACCTTGTGAAGACTCTAGCTGCAGAAAATACTGCTGCACCAGATGACATTACAGCTGACTTAACAATTTGTGCTAGAACACCAGGTTTGTATAACTTTTGACTTGTTTGTAAAAATTGTAAATAACAGCAAAATTAAAACCCTATATGTTTGTCACTACCTCTTGACTTTGACTGTGAGACTGTATTATAATATATATGCAAATGTTCAATTATGCTGGAAGTGTTGTAGTTTGGATTTTGATCTTTGCTTATTTTGAATTCATCACATTGTCAATGTGGTAAAAATAAATTTGTGCCTTCATTAGTTATTGGACATTACTAATACTTCTATAAATCTTCTTTAACAAAAATAATGGCACAAATAACCAAAGGTGAGGTGTAATGATCATGATTACACTCATGCATTCCTGTAAAGCAGAATAAGATAATTTAGTTTTTTTTTTGTAATCCTAACTTTATCCTCAGTATCACTCTCTTTTGACATTGTACTCTTCATCCCATCATCATAAATAGCAAATATAGGTTCACCCTATCCATACATACTGTATACCTCTAGTACAATTAAAGCAAATCTGCATGGATTACTTAGCTACTGCCATCTTGTTTCTAATATTTTATTTTTGTTCTGTATACTAAACTGTAGGTTTAGAAGTAGTGTGATGAAAGGCATCAATGATGTAGCTTGTCAGCATTTACATTGATGGGCTGTCAAAGTGTTTCAGATCTGACACTTTTCCTCTGTTTTAATGGCACTAAATAAGAGATGTCCATAATGGCTTCTCATCAACTGGTACGGCAGGGGAATCTTAGGCAACATCCATTTTTAACAACTCCCTGTCTCCCAAAACATACTGTGTCAGTCATCTGTCCCCACCAATTACCACACACCACAGGGGATCTACCTGTTAACTAGAATGTTTTAAGGTTAGTTGCCTTCTCTTTGGTCACATGAACAATAATTGAAGATGTAACTCTTGTGTAGCATTGTTGATTGACATAAATTAATATTTAGATCCATAATATATATACTGTAGCTCAAGCTACAGAATCTCAGACAAAGTTAATACCATGATAGCTTGTTTTAAGATTACCTTTCCTATGCAGTGATAAAAGGGTTTTTAATTACTGTAACAATTATAAATTGGAACAATAAATTGCAAGAGTGCTTTGTCTCTCACACAATGACTAAATATATAACATACAATTTATTGATATGACACCAAAACATGTACTGTATAACAAACCAAGAAACAGAATATATCTGTTTATCGATCAGCTGTGATACAACAGGTTGATCAGTCACTCAAGGACTACCAAGATGAAAGGTAATGACATCAAACCTAAAATGTTGATTATAACGCTATATTTTACCTACTAGCTAAATCACATTTATATTCTCACATCAAGTAAATATGTATTTACTACCATCAACTAAACCATAACATGTGTTTGGAATAATATCTCAACTCTCAAGACTTATAATGTGAACAAAAAAGTTTTATACTCGAAGAGCCATTTGTCATTTGTGTTTCTACACGTTAACTTCCTTGTAAACAGTCACATCATTACCTGAAAAAAACCAAGGCACTATATCTCGAAAATGAAAAGCACAAACACTAATTTCAATGGCAAAAGCCAGCACAAATGGAGCATTAACGAATACAGTGTGTTTCATCGTTTGTGCTTTTTTTTCCAGTAGAAATGCAATTGCATGACCCATCTCTATTAAAACGCATCCAGTGTAATGGGACTGTAGAGCACAGCTTGACAACTGGATCTTTACATTGATTGTGACATGGGAGATTGACTGAGTCCTGAAGTTAGCACTATCTTGACACAAAATATCTTTCAAGGTCGACTTTCAGATTTTCTACACAACCTGGAATTAAATGAGGAGACCTTCAAATTAAGAGGTGTCACTGTGTTCTGCCCGCCTGGCAGCAAACAAGTCCTTGCTCATTACATTGCACACTGCAAAACACAATTTCAGCTTGCAGAAATATGAAGACTTAACAAAGGCAGTTTTATCTGTGTCTTTGGACATGAAGGTATATTTTCAAATATTTCTGAGGTCCATATGTGTGAGACGGTAGACCTTCCAATGTTATTTTGCAGATCTAGCAAAGCTAAGTTTATA